AAGAATTCCTAATTTAGCAATCTTGCTAATTTAGAAAGAACTTCTCCATCCCTAAACCATTGCTAATTTTTTTCCATCTAAGATCCACCTCATCTTTAGCAATTGCTAAAAGTTGGGGATGGAGATGGTGACAATCAATAAGCAATTTCTAAAGTGGGCCCTTGTCGCCCTTAGGGCTTAGGGTTTAGGGTTTAAGGTTTAGGGTTACAATAACATTACCAAATCAATAGATTAATTTTGGTAAACAAAAAAGTTAGTTAATCTACAAAGCCAGGCTAAAAGCACATCCCCATCTCCTGCCGTCAATTCCTAAACTTTTCCTTTAATCCTATGTTGAAAGAGCTTCAATCCTTGCCGCGGCGTGTCACCCAATCAGATTTTGCCGTTTTCGGAAAGTCGCATTTGCCCATAATCAGTGCTGACGTTACCAAGGCCGAGGCAGCGGTAGGGAGTGTTATTTTCAGTAAATGGGAAGGGCTGGAAAGGCAAAGTAATTTTATGAGTCCATTTATAAATTCTTTAATCAAAGAGACACATAAATAAAAGAGACACATAAATAAAACGACACCGCATAAACCAGCAGTCTTCTTATAAACCAATTAGACACATCATTAAAATGACACCGTAGAAAGCAGCAGTCTTCTTATAAACCAAACGACGCCGCTTCAAGCTGACAGTGGCAGTCTTCACATAGTCCTAATCCGAATAGGATAAGGACTTCCATCTTCACTTCAAGTTTTCAACACTGATCAAATAGTTGAAGCCCTTTTACACACGTATTCCGAAGAACTCAAGTGTCCAAAACTCTAGTCCTAATTTAGCAATCTTGCTAGTTTAGAAAGAACTCCTCCTTCCCTAAACCATTGCTAAGTTTTTTATATCTAAGCTCCACCTTATCTTTAGCAATTGCTAAAAGTTGGGGATGGCGATGGTGACAATCAATAAGCAATTTCTAAAGTGGGCCCTTATCGCCATATCTCCAATCAAGCAAAAAACCCATTCAATAATTTTCGAACCCCTACATCCCTAAAACCAATAAGCAATTGCCAATAGTGGGCCAATACAAAGAAAGAAAAAAGTAATCAAAAAATAAAAAATATCCTATGTGGCATTGCAATCTTGCTAATAATGGTGCCACCTAGGATTCCACTAAATAAGCAATGGGATGGAGATGGTAAGGATTTATGGTTAATAGCATAAGCCTAGACCATCTCCATCCCCTTTCATATGCAATTGGTAAAACTTTGGCGGCATGTGTTTGGCAATTGCTAATTAAATTGCAAGGATGTGGAGCCAATTGCTAACTTATTAGCAATCTTGCTAAATAAGCAATTCAACTTGCAATTCCAATTGCTAACATACATATATGTGTGGCCCCACAATAGAAATGGCTAAAACCTTGGAAGGATGTGGATGACTTCAAGAGCTATTGCTTAAGTGGTTGATATGGCAGTGGGACCCATATATGAAATTGCTAAGTAATTGCAAGGATGAAGGTTAGGGTATAACGTAGGTAGCAAGGTGTTGATGGTTTAGAGTATATATGGTATTGATTGGTTAGGGTATAAGGTGTTATTGTTGTAGAGTATATGGTATTGATTGGTTTGAGTATTAGGGTTTAGGGTTCAGGGTTTAGGGTTACAATAACATTACCAAATCAGTACATTAACTTTGGTAAACGAAAAAGTTAGTTAATCTACAAAGCCAGTCTAAAAGCACATCCCCATCTCCCTCCGTCAATTCGTAAACTTTTCCTTTAATCCGATGGTGAAAGAGCATCAATCCTTGCCGCGGCGTGTCACCCAATCAGATTTCGCCATTTTCGGAAAGTCGCATCTGCCCATAACCAATGTTGACGTTACCAAGGCTGAGGCAATGATAGGGAGTGTGATTTTCAGTAAATGGGAAGGGCTGGAAAGGCAAAGTAATTTTATGAGTCCATGCTCCGAAACCCGAGAGGCACTCATCTCCTGCTTTTGTTCGTTCCTCCTCCTCTAAATCCCTGAAAAGACCCCTTTCTCCAATCTTCTCAATATGAAACTCTGAAAATCAACCCCATCCGCCTCTTCGTCCTCCTGTCCCATGCTTTATTTTCGGGTGCAGTGGTAATGATGAGACTGCGTATTATTTTAGATCTTAGTTCCTGTCATTATGTCATTGTTAGATCATGACTGTTAAACTAACTCCTTCTTTTTATTGCTTCTTCTTTTCTCTACATGCAGGGTCTTTGTTTGAGGCAGGGAGGGGAGCAGTGACAATAAGTCGCCGTCTGAATATTGTCGAAAGAATCATCATATGTTGTTATGATTCCATAATAGGTGTTGTGGAACCCTACGTCATATGGTGATACTTTTGTGCTTTATTGACGCTTACATGTTGATCATGCTCCGAAAATGTATACAAGAGGGGAAAGTTGCCATATGTATAGTATAAAAGTGGGAGGAGGGAAAATACATTGTTTTTTTTTCAAGATTTGTACTTTTAGTGTTTGAGATCTTATTAGATCGGCGAGGGATCTTTCAATCAATAAAAATACTGTAGTTTATTTCTTGATTACTGCCTCCATTTTCAGAAGTCTTTTACTATTGGGCCAACATTATTTTTTCCGGATTTCGAACTCTGCTCCTCTGTCGGCGCATGCTATTGTCATTTCACGCCTAAAATAATAAAGTGAAATGGAAAAAGGAAAATTTTAATTTCATAATTTTAGTAGCCAAAATTAAATAAATTTATAAACAAGTAAAAAATCCGATAAAATAATTCAGTAAAAAATACGAGTGAGAAAAATTATTCAACTGAAATGTTGCACATAATTTATTTACGGAGCAACCTCCATATCGAATTAAATCAAATCCATCCGAACTAAGTAAAACGACATCGTAGAAGGCAGTAGTCTTCTTATAAACCAAAGAGACACATAAATAAAACGACACCGCATAAACCAGCAGTCTTCTTATAAACCAAAGAGACACATAAGTAAAACGACACCGTAGAAGGCAACAGTCATCTTTTAAATCAAACGACGCCGCTTCAAGCTGACAGTGGCAGTCTTCACATAGTCCTAATCCGAATAGGATAAGGACTTCCATCTTCACTTCAACTTTTCAACACTCCTTAGGTTGCTACTTCTGGTAACGGGCCTCTTCTGCAAAATCGATAACGACGATTTTAGTCGTACAAAAATATTGGATGCAACTGCATTGTGTAGACACGAACAATTATATTTTATTCTTACCCTAGGTTGCTCGTAATCTTCGTCATCATCATTTTCATCATCGGATGTCCCAAAACCAGTACACGTTCTTGCATTATGATTGGTAGAACCGCACTTACTGCAATGCTTTTGCCTTCTCTTCGGTACGGTTTCCGATTGATCTTGAGTGGTGGGAGGATCAACATCGGTGTCATCGCCACCGCCACCTTCTTCCGAAACACCAGCATTCGGGGCATCACCGTTTGAGGTTGGCTTCACATAGCCAACAGGATGTGGGCATCGGGTCCTATAGTGGCACCATTCACCACAATTGCTACATTGTCGTGGTTCTCATTTCCTCCTTTTAGATTTTTTAGCCCCCGAACCTTTAGCTTTGACCTGTAATGGATCCAACAAAATTTCATTCTCCTTCGGTCTATTAATGTTGGGTATGTCCACGTTGCCAGTGTCGACCATGTCCAACTTTTCACATAATGATTGAATTCCCTCACGAGCAATCTTGAAGCACTCACTAGATTTTGTCCCTTTTAACATTAGTTGTAAGCTGTTTTGTTGAATAGTACCATACCTGATTGACACAATATTTTATACAAAGTGAGTAAAATTAACGTTCACCTAGCTTCGAACCAATATTAAAAAAAATTAAAAGTGATAGTCATGGCAAACCTCAATGCGAAAAGTTGCGATTCATCTATTATGCCCGGTTCCTCCAAGCTCTCTAGTGTCTTCGACTTCTTTGACCATCTTCGACGTACTAGGCCTTCAGGAAGTTCCAGTATGCTCTCTTCTTTCAGTACAAAAATCATATGACGACATTGTATTCCCATATAATCGTAATGATTACAACTACACTCCATTGCAAAGGGTTCAACTGTGTACGTGACTTGAAAAACCTTATCCATGCCAGACACCTTGACCTTGTATACCGGGGGAATAAAAGAAGCATGAGTCTTGATGAAAAAGGGAAAAAATCACCATAGATAAAAAATCATTATAATCAAGCCATATCCATACTATTCACGCCTATCATCGTCACTATACTTGTGACCAAATATAAATAAAACTATAATTTTTGAAAACCATTAAAAAATGAAGATGAAATAAGTAACACATTCTTCGACCTAATTGGAACTGCTTAGAACAAAAGCGGATTAAAATCTCCCCCAATGAAATTCATTTGCAATTTCATAGGTAGTCCCTACTTCCACTTCTATAATTTTGAGAAAACATTGCAATTTCATCAATAGTCCCCACTCGTGGGCCAATTTCAATCGCAAGCAAATTTGCACCCTTGCAATAGCTTCTCACATCATAGCAATTTAGAGATGCAATTGCACCTCCTTGCCACATCATCTTGCAAGTCACAAAAATTGCACCATTGGAGATGACCATTACTGCATCTCGTCACCTGTCTTAGGGAACTTCGCCATGGCAAATTCACAAAATACTGCATGCATAGAAAAATATTGGTCTGGACAATTCAAAAATGGGAGACTTTCCTAGTCAGATGATGTACTGGCTCCCCTCAGTACCTGAGAGTTTTGAGTGCTGGAGCATTAAGGAAAAGACAAAAGACTAGAAAAGAAACCAACAAAGACTTAGGAAACTTGTTAACAGAAGACATCCATTGCTGGCCCCTTTGCTTCTCCAACGCTCCACCCCGCCCTGCATCAATCGACTCTCATGTAAGCCGAGGACGTTTGCTTGAGGAGGCCTCAGGGGTCTCTTGATGCTCCGTATGCCGAAAGTCAATAAAAGTATTGGTCAATTCGGCTATACGGTACACCGGCAAATAAGCACATTGGTCCTCCTTAACAAAACCCCCATATCCATCCCAACCCTTCAAGAAAGGTGGTCACGAAGGTGGCATATGGAAAGGCAGTGTACTAGTTTTCCCCTCTAGGAGCAGCCTCAACCATGTTCAGGCACATGAGAGATGCGAGGTTAACAGGAACACCTCTTTGAGCTTGCACAAGGATAAAAAAGTCAAGTTTACGAATAATCGAATGACCACGGTACCTTGGCAGGAAACAGTTGACGATCATCCAGTGGAGGAATCGAAGAGGATCTGGGAGGAAAGAAGCCTGGATGCGCCCCTTCGTGAGTTTCGCCTGTTCAACTTCAAACTCAACATCGTACAGCCGCCCAAGATCGCTTCTGCTCTCAATGGGGTGTCCTCCGGTGGGAGATCGAGGATCTCAGCAAACTGATGAGGCTGGAAGCAGACTCTATGTACCAGGAAGATCGACACAAGATGAGAATCACAGGGACCAGAAAGCTCTAAATTGTGGTATAACTTCCTCACCACATGGGGGCAGTAACTGATGCTTCCTCGACTCCGGAGATCAAAGAATTTTTTATTAACTTCTTCACTTCTTGAGGGAAAGGACTTAGGTGGATGAACTCATACTCGGCCACAATTGCTGTTTTGCTTGTAAATGAAAGATAGTCACCAAGACTTGCGGTGGATCGGCAGTCTTCGTTTGATAGAGATAGTATCCCCATTTCCGCAAACAATTTACCTTTGTTTGCCATGGAGTCTGGAGGAAGAAGGTACAAGGGAAGGTGAAGATGGAGGAAAGAGAGAATGTAGGTGTAAGAAAAAGTGATCGTGGGGGTTGAGTCTGGAGACGTGAGTGTGATGGAGACGGTTGAGTCTGGAATGTCAAGATTTAGAAGATTTTGGAAGATATGTAATGATGATGGTAACTCGTGTAGGTTAAACTAGGTTAAGTAAAGCTAGTTAAACTAGGGTTTGGAGCACGAATTGATACGACAGGAGAAATGGAATGGGCTCGCACGTTCCAGGCCCACTTTTGAATATTGCATGGATCATGTACAAGCCCACGTTTGAATGTTATTTAAAAGCCTGCAAAAATCAATGATCAAACCCAGTCCAACTAGAATTAGTCCTAAACGTACCGTGAATACATAAAAACAACTTAAGGAGACCTCTCCATCCGATTCGAATCAAATTCTGTCTTCTTCATCTCCTTCCTCAATCCTCTGGGCGAGACAAACACTACATATCAGGAAACCTAAATTTCACCGAGAGATATAAGTTTCGAGAAAATGACAATAACGCTAAGACAAGATGACAAAGCACTAGCGACATGAACCGTAGGGTTAGCAAACCTCTTTCAAGGGTTCTTTTGCAAATGAAAAGTTTGATGAACAAAATAATAGACATGGTCGCCGTAATCGTGTTAGAAAGAGATAGGCGAGGGGAAATAGAAGGGCGAAGAACAAACAAGACAAAACAAATTGGGAAATTCAATCTACGTCGAATGTGCATGCAAGTAATTGGGATTCAAAAAGATGATTAAGTTGGAGAGTTCAAATTGGATGGGGAGCTTCTCTTGGAACTGTGAAGAGGCGTCCCTCTAAGACGAGAGAGGGATCGTGTAATTGGTTAGGGAGACTGGAAATTGGTTATGGCGCCAGTGGGTCTACCCAATTGGGTTATTTAATTTAATCGGGCCAGTTAGTTGGACTAGGATGAAAACAAACTTAACGCGGCAGGGGGCTTTTTGTAATTTGTTTAGTTATTTAGTGGCGTAGTTAGGTTTAACAAACGTGAGCCGTGCAGATTGAAAATGAATGGTTAAGATCGGCCAAGGTACCCGTACCCGAATTTTGCCCTGGGCACCGTAGAAGTCACCATATATATATATATATATATATATAGATAATAGTCATATCCATATATACGTATCCATATATATATATATATAGATAATAGTCATATCCATATATACGTATCCATATATATATATATATGGATATCACTCGTATTCTCCAGACACATAGCATGCTCCATGTCTTTCCACTATTGATCTAATCTAATGACTATTATTATTTATAATTAAGTAATTTCTTATTAATAATTACAATTGCTAATTATACCCCATAAACAATTGTATGTCTGCTACAATCCCTCAACAATAAACAATCCCCAACAATAAATAAAACTGATGATACATCATCATCATCGTCCCTATATACGAAAAATTGAACGACGGCGGCGAAGGATCAGGAAATCGTCAAGAATTCTCATCTCCTATCCAAAACAACATCTAAACCGGGGTGCACTTATTGTGGGGAGATAATTTGTTTCTTCGGTTCACCATGCTGCTCTCCTCTATGTTATTTGATAGATCTAGGAATGGTGTTTATAGAATTGGGGGGATTTGTTTCGTAACTTGATTCCAATTTTGGTTGAACTATTCCTAGAGATCTAGATGCCGAATTTCTATTAAACTATACATAGGGTTCTACATGGAATTAGATTGGGGAATCGCCTCATGTAACTGAACTGTCTTCTCAAGGACACAAAGGGGCATAGGGGAAGGAGACGCAGCAGCCGGAGCGGGATCTGTATCTTGAGTTTCTGTAGAGGGAGAACTTCTGGACGAAGATAGTCGAGAGTAATGTTGTGGCGTTGATGGAGAGATGAAATGGAAATTATCCGAAGAGAGGGATAGGATGTAAAAATCTAGTGGTCGATTTGAGACGGCTAGGGATAGACTTGATGATCGACAAGGGGGAGGAGAAGGTTCACCGACTTAGATGAAGAGGAAATGTGAAAGTGGGATTTGGAAAAATGAGGAATTTTACAATACTATATAGAATTGGTGCTATAGGTTTTGACTTTTATGGTACAATTTGAGATGGTACATTCAATGTTATGGTACAGTTTTAGATTATACCTACACTATTTTGTACATATTCTTTATGGTACAACTTGAACTTGTACCTTTATGTGATGGTACAACTTCAACTTGTAAAGTTGTACCATAACATAAGGGTACAAATTCCTTTATAGTACAACTTGAACTTATACATTTAATGTTATGGTACAATTTCAAGTTGTACATTAAAGCTCCAATACTATATAGGATAGTAAAAGGGCTCTTTGAAAAATCTGTATATAGGAACTAAATAGCACGTATAAGAAAATAATGGAACTATTTAATTATCTTTTAATAGTGAAATATAAGTAATTTAATTAGAATTAATAAATGTCGTTAGATTAGATCAACGGTATCGGAAATCTGGAGCATGTTATGCATCTGAAGCATACGAGTCTGCCCTATATATATGGGTATATTTAACACCAAGAATCGAATGTTACATTGTCTAACGAAACCCTTGGATTCACAAACCTACACAACTAAGGAACTAGCCACTCACAGGGACATGGTGTAGGGAAGACATCAGTTGTAAGACAAAATTAATAAAGTCATGAAAAACGACAACTATAATAGTAAAATGGCACTTATGGCATTAAGATGGATATTGCCTCTTTAGTGTATACACCTCAATTGAAAGGAGTAAGACATGTGATGTATGGATGGCTTGTGTGGTTTGACCAATGGAGTTGGCAGTAGGTGTATACCTATGGGTCCTTAGTTACTGCTAAAGGCTATGGTGATAGGTGATGCTTCCCAACTCCTGTCATAAAATATATTATAGAATAAAATGATTAAATAAATAAAGTGGCAAACAAGCCTCTCAAGTTGGCTTTTGAATGGCGTGACTCGAGTAAAAGGACACCATCCGAGTTGATGGATGGTATCATCCCAACTATCATGGATACCATCGCAACCCTATGATGGATGGTACCATCCCAAATATCATGGATACAATCCCAACCCCAAAGTGAACGGTACCATCTCTGGACACCATCAAACCTCTTAGTGGATGGTGACCATCCCACATTATGAGTAACACCCACCTACTTTTCTCCATTTAAAACCATTAAAACATATGGATCATCGTCAACTATTTACCAAAATTCTCAAACTCTGGGTTCATAACAAAATTTTCAGGAAACCCCATCTTCAAATGTCACGTAAAAAACATTGTAAAGAGTTCATTTTTTCGCCCACCTCGTCGAGATCAAACTCGAATTTGCTTTGTCCCTTGGCCTTCACCCATTTTTGCTATTGATCTGGAAAAAATATTGACGGGGTGAGACGACACTCAATGAATAAATAATAACCTAATATAAACATTAATATGAAAATGATATCAGGTATGTTGTGACTTGGAGTGTCTTCTGCCCATTATACTTGAGATATATCTAATTACTTAAAGACTTTACTTAGGTATCACCTATGTAGATTCACACAGAATTTCTTCCCTCGTCACTTTCACATGCACGTTATGAGTCATTCATTTAAGCTTTTACATATATGTCATACATGATTCGTTTAGGGTTTCACCTCCACTTTACCCTACCCGGGTTGTAGGTTCATATTTATTCTTCTACCATACATAATTTTTGTATCACATCTTTACCCTTCTATCAACACCTCATCATGGGATGTATTATAGACACATACATTATACTCGTCAACATCTCATGGTAGTATCATAATTAAATCAACATATCATCACTACTTATAAAACAATTTCCTAACTTATAATTGTACCACTCTTCATAGGAGATTATCACAAAAATATACCTCATATCACTTGATATCACATATAGAACACATCGACCCTGACATGTTTCATATTTCACGTAAGGGTTCACATTCTATATATCAAATATGGCATATACTAAGATTGTCATCTCGATCACATATCACACAAATGTGGAGAATACTAAGATTGCCATTCAAGTATCCATCTTGCATCGAAAACCACCGAGTATCAATACCCAATCTACATGTAGTTAGCTCGATTCAGTAGCTTTTATTCTTTAATCTGCCAAGTCATGCACTCCCGGGGATCTTGTGAACTCGTAATCTCGTAGGCACAAAGTGCCAAATCTCATAAAATCGTGGGCATAGAGTGCAATATCTCATGAACTCGTAAACTCGTGGGGCACATGATGCCATATATCATAAACTCGTAGCCAGGCCTGGCATTACTCCTTAAAAGGAGTTATTGTATAGCTCTTTTGTCTCTTATGCTTGAAGCCTCTTTTCACTTATAATGAGTGCATGACAGGGCACCATTACGTTTGCTTAAGGTGACCATGCATAATCTTATAGTTAGTCACAACTCAATATATCACTTGTGTGCCGCAAGGGCCATTTCATCTCATCTCGTACCATTCACAATAGGCAACCTTTCTTACCCTTCTTTCCACTTGGACTGCCTTGAATATTGAATACCATTTCACATTTCATATACTAATAACATAATACCGTTTAGGAGACACATAACATGTATTACGACCTGCTGATCATATAATCAAACAATAATTTCATCACATTATCATACAATTACCGCGGTACGGTAACCACATCCAATGATAGGATAATTCAATCATGTAACCATGCCACATATCAACATTTAATCACAATTGGTTTACCTAGCCATCACTCACGTTGTACTCGGGCCGCTTCATGATCCGAATACCATTATCATATTAAGATAAACATTAGATTAGAATTTACTCACCTCGAATTCTTAGTTTCCTTGGTGACTCTCCATGCTCTCTTCCTTAGCTAACTAGTTAGTTGGCTCCCTGGTCAATGCAGAATCTATCTAAGACAATGGTCGATGGTATAGGGCGATGGTGGTAGTACGATGATGAAGAGGAACACAACTAATCTATCTCCTCTCTCAGTCCCTCAGGATTGAAAGAAAATACATCCCTCC